TACAAATTAATACAGAGATTACAAAGGTTGTCACGTGGAGCCATATATCATTTATGTTAATGAAACTCCCTAAAACCCGACCTTTAATGGATTTACCGGGTGGCTTGTTGCCCGAAGATATCCGGTTGAATTAAATTTCTACTACTACTACTATCTAGAAAAAACTAGACACCCCTAATTGGATCTTCAATCCTTCCGGAGTCCTCCCAACTAACATGCCATGATGGACTTGCTAGTTCCAAGAAAGGAGAAGTATACCTTTCTTATTGATCCTGGTGATTATGGCCTGTCACCAATTACCGAGTGTGTTCAGAAAAAGAGTATGAGTTCGGTAGATATTATTGTGTCATACGAAGGTGAAAAAATCATTTGGATCAGAATAGAAAAATCCTGGAGTGATTTGGAATGGAAGAATGGTTGTGTCTTCAAAAGTAGTATGAGTTCTTGAGGTTCCATTCTAATAGGAGAGGTACTCATTCCATAGCCATGACACTTTCGGATAGTAATGAGAGAGAGGAGATCACAGTCCATGTGATATTTATCCACTCGCACTTCCAGCCAATGATTTATGATGGACCTAAGGTTCTTATGAAGCTTAGGAAATGCATTTACATCATGTGTCACGTGTATCCTTGTTTACATTTCTGCTAACCATGGAGCAATCAATCCCAATCTTCAGCCAATCAATCCATCCAAAATCCGGTGTAACAGAAAATTCAGGGTCAAGATAGGGTAGGCAAAATCCTCCAGAAAATTAAGAAAAAATCACTACACACTAAGAGAAAAGCCGTTTCTGCCTGTGGTAGTGATGTCAGCAAGCTGGCATGGAGTTGTTGGCCCACACTTCTTCCTGGATTATTGGGACCTCCATAGGGAAGAGAAGGAGGGTATTTTTTCATCTGGTTTCTTCTTTCTAGAAAAGCCTTCTTGCCATTAACTTTTTAGGTAGAGGGTTTTTGAAGAGGAAAGGTAAACAAGAAGGGTAGAATATGACTGCTGCTAAGCGAAGCAGGTGTTTTTAAAGAAAGTTTTGAAGTTTTATTACTCTCAAAACATAAAGTTTTGAAGGAATGCTTCTTTGAAAGTGATGGTTAGAGATCTATGGGAAAGAGTTTGATTAATTTATTTTTATTGAAATATAAGATATAAAAGATAATCAATAAAAATATATGTAAGGAATTTATAGAAAAAAGAAAATAAAAAAATTTTCAAGTTCTCCAAATTAAAATCTATATTTTTAATAAAAAAAATGATTATCAAAAGAAAAAAATCTAAAAACAAAAGCTTGAACAAAAAACATTTAATATAGAATAAAGTAATTGGATTTTAAGCCCTATTATAATTTCTTGTAGTAATTTGTAATAATAATTCACAAGCAATGATATTAGTAGTTAAAAAAATCTTTATTTAAACTACTAATGAAATGATAAATTCTTTCAAAATTGTACTTAAAGTTTAAATAAATATAAAATAGAGATGAGTAAGTTAAATAGAGATTTAATTTTAAACAAAACATTTTATAATGTATAATATACAATTGTTTAATAAATGTAATACTTGAATTCAATATTCAATAAAGCTTATATTTAATACCAGTTACAATTAATTAAAAAAAAAATTGACCTATGGGTCAATAGCACAATGGTAGTGCTCCCAGGTCACAATCACAAGGTCTGTAGTTCGATACTACTTAAGAATCAAATCAAAAATTACCTTTTGATTAGGTTTTACCGATTATCCTGTAAAAATCATACCCAATCATCCGGAACAAGATTTAATCAGGTTAAACTTCAGGAAGATGGAACTTCTGACCTTCCATCGATCAGGGGTTGAGATTTATGGTCATACTACCAGAAGGATTGCATGAAGAAAGGCTTCTGATCTAACTTACTATAGACATCCCAAGACCCCTTGCCCTGGCAGTTTTCAAGATCCCCACTCTTCTAGATCAGGATATCCCAATCTGATGCTTCGCTTAATTGAAAATCAATTAATAGGAACTGATCCGATACCACAGGTGATGACAAAGAAGGTAACATGCCCTTTTTTGAGGTCTAAGCAAATAATATCTGAGAATATTGGAGGGTATAAAATATCCCATCAGATATATATGAAAAGGACTAGTTTAGTGAAACATCTAATACCAGTTGCGATTTAAAATTAAAAAAAATAAAAAAAAAAAAAAAAAAATCTTTCTAACCAATTATGTTTCTATGAAATGAATATACTGTATATTTCAATTCCTGTAATCGGATTTCAGTGTTAAAAGTCAAAGATCACTCACTACCTAGTTGAGAGATATTAGATTTGTCCGGAACATTGCATGTCAGTAACAAGAACTGGTTTGTCCCATAATCTGATTCTAGTGATAGTGCCCGAGAAGAAATGTTTAGCAACAAAGCTTTGCTCATAAGGATACAATACATTTAATAAAATAGCACATTTATCAGTTATATTAGGGACCAATACAGACTTTTGTAACTATCTAATTATTTGCATTTAACGTAAACCTTTTTTACTTGATCCCTCTCCGTTATTTATTTGATATGTAAAGATGATGTTAACTTATTTTGTTGAGATAATAAGTATGACGGCTCATTGTTGACACTGTTGATGATCGCTAATTCTCAACCAATTAGAATGACTCAAAAAAGTTTAAATCAATTCCTAAGGCTGGTTCAAATTCCATGTCTCTACTCCCCTCATTAGCCTTAACGGCGGAATTTCTTGCTTTTGCTGTGTTCATCATCAGATGCATTTGCACGCTTAGCTCCGTGTTTTCGTTCGTCGGCTTAAAAGAGAGTATTGCAATGAGATCATTTTTCCAATTTAATTTTGATTCACAAAATTTATGCATACCTCGGCGTGCTTTTTCCTCTAGTTCATCCCAGTCCGGTGCAGATTCATCACTCTCCGTCTCCGAACCTGGAGCAGTTTCGTCGGATGCTTCCTCGTCATAACTGCTTTCTTCGCTCTTATGACATTTTGGGTGCACTTATTAATAAAATTCGAATAGATATTAAATTATCTCCTTAAGTCGAAGAACTTACCGAACTTTCTTCATAATCATCCTCACTTTGTTGATATTCACTTGCAGAATCAGAAGAGGCGTCCGAGTCTTCATTCTGCGGAAGTATAGAACCAGCTATTAGAATAAAAATTAAAATGCAACAGTCAATTTTTATTTATAAAATACCTACCTCACTATGTAGCTTCAAAAATGACCATCCGCCTTGTGCGTAAAAGTCAGCCGGATCCTGATTTATGGTCTTCATGATTTGAGTCCAATTTAGATTTTGAGTACCCTCATAGAAGGTAACATCTACCGAACTAATGGCACAATTGAGGTTTAGTTTAATATAGAATTTTTTGGCTGGAATCTTTAAAAGCAAAAATAAAATAAATACTCTAGCCAATCTTTAACATTCTCCAGTTGATTCATTGGAATGGTATTAATGTGAACTGGTGGGCGAGAATAGTCTTTAAAAATAAATACAAGATCGAAATTTTTCAATCCAAACTAAAATGGCAAAAGACGGGAAAAAAGGTCAAAATTTTAAACAAGGAATCTAAACAGAAACTATGCAATGGTTAACAACCTGAACTCGCTCCAGATGAGCAATTTCTATATCAGTAATAGGTATTACTAAAAACGGGGGATCGGTTAAATGCACGAGACATTCTGTTGTGGGCTGTAGTAATACATTGGTTCTAAAAGGCACGCCTTGAAAACCAATATCTCTGAAAGGAATATCGACATCGATGCTCCCTTCGCTCTGATATAAAAGTGATCAACATTATAATGAGACCTTAATTAAGCATCAATCGACGCGCTACGCTATATACTCACTGCTTCCGCGATTTTTTCGGAGAATGCCTTGAATTCCTTGTTCAGTAAAGTTCTCCTACGACGTTCTTCCTGTTCTGCTCCAAGTTCGTCCTCGTCACCATAACGAAACTTCCTCTTTCTATTACCGGTCTCATCAAATTGTACATCAGAAGCTTCACGATAGAATTGTATATCCTATAGCAATTTATTTTTAATAACAAGATTTTTAACATAAATAAGAGGTTTCAAGATGAAATATTTACCTTTGTTTTTTTCTTTCCATGGATAACAGGGTTCTTCAGATGCATGTGCAGTAGCACAATCAATTCATTATCACATGGTTGAAAGAACAAATGCTGAATATTACTGAACAAAATATCTAGATATAGGAAATAAGTTGAAATGTTCAATATCAAAAATGAATTTTATCAAGTGGTAAACTTGGAACACTGACGTATTTACCTAATTTCTGACTTGTACGATGTGAATGGTAACGCAATCCATTTTCATGAATTTCTAATTCACCAGGTATTCGTTTTCCCTCTAGACCAGGTCTCACAAATACGTCCGACAAGCGATGAGTCGGTCTACGGCCTTAATTGATAATGTGTTAACGTGAAATTTCAAATCTTATGACAACCAATTGCGTAGATTTTATACCTTTTATTTCAATCAGCTTGTCTTGCTCAATTAAGTTGGCCATTTCCTTCCGTTCCGCTTCCCTAAAAAAAATTTCAATAAAATGAATAAACAGAACATTGAAGTTTTCAATAACGGTAGTATTTAACGTGAAACACAAAAGATCAACTTTTTTGCTGCACTCTTCTTGAGATCCAAAATTTTTTTATAAATCTCGGCCAACAACGGATCGGTGCTGCGGTATGTGAATGCTCTAATGAAGTTTGCATTCGGATCATCAAATGGCTAAAAATGTGAGAAAAAAAAAAATACAATAATAATTAAACTAAGAAAAATTATGATGAACGTAAAAATAAAAGCTTGTAATATACATATGTACATATGTATTTACTTATTTATTTAAATACTCACCATATCCTCTTTTTTCCCAGAAGCCTGACCAGGCGTCAGAAAGTTAAGACGCAAATATAAATAATCTCCTTCTTCTGACTTGTTTACATTTTTTAACGTTGAGATGTGAAAAGGGACCGCGAAACCGAACACTGGTAAGATGATCGACTCATTTCTTTGATCTACAATAATCTGCATTCAAAGTTAATGTTAGTAATTATAAGTTGTTCATATTTCTTTCCTACTTAAGTGACCTTACCTTCAAATCCTTGACTTCTTTTGGTAACGCGATATCTCTTTTGTAACTTTCAAATTTTCGAAATACTTCCTCTCGTTGATTAGTCTGATGATCTACTCCTTCACCAAATCTTGCCAGACCTTCGGCTTGCTTCTGAGCAGCAAGCTCTTCTTGATGCCTTTTCCGCCTTTGTTCTATTGACTCTTCATCCTAAATTGAAACATCAATTAGACTCTATAAAGAATATATATATATATTCGGAAAAGAAAAAAAAAAATGCAGTATACTTTTTCTTCGCTTCGGAATTTCGTTTTTAAAACGGCACTTTTCCGGGGGGCACTCCTTTTAGCTTCAATGGCTTTTGCAGGAAGTTTGTTTTCTTTTTTTGATTCTTCACTTTCGTTTTCATCCTTTTCATAAATTCAGAATTACACATGTCACGAAACTACACCGACCGAGTATGTCATTTTCTACATAGGCTTAATACCTTGAATGAAAAACATATGCTGTCAAGACTCTTGGTGCTTTCCGTGAACACTTGGAAAGAATCACTTCCAACTCTAACAGTGTCGATCAACCAAAGCGCGTAACTATATTACCAATTTAATGAGAATAAATCATTTTGTTAATAAATTTAGAAAACAGCGAATAAAAGAGTACAACGAAAAAATTTCTTCGTTCTACACTGACTTTTTGCTTTTTTCATCGGTTGCTTTGGAATTTTCCAAATCGGTAAATCCGATAAACAAATTTAGTATCATGCCGGTCTTTAATTCCTTGTTATTTTTCTGGTTCAAAATGTAACTAGACTCTCGGAATTCGATTCCCATCTAAATTTTCATATAAATAGTAAATAACTAAAAAAATCTCTATAATATTTGGTTTTGAAATATGTACCCCATGCCCAAGATTCTTGACAAATTTATTCACAAGATCAGGGCGTTTAGAATTGATATATCTCGTCGCCCTTGAATAAACATCGCTGATCTTTACTCCATCCTTAATACATTCTAGTATTCGTCGTTGTACATCCAAAAGAAATTCGTATGTTCTCTCTTGATCCTATTGTCGGTAAATTTAAACATATTTAACAATATTACTAATTTTCGTAAATATCCTAAACAATAGATACCTTATTCGGATTCATTAAAATAGTCCGACCAATGTTTGAACAATATGATTTATATCTAACACCAAGTGAAAAAAGAATCGTCCCTTCGTGCAAAATATTTGTGTTCGACTGAGCTGAAGTTCTAAAATCATATTCACCCCCACTTTGAATAATTGGAGCATAGCATATATCTGTTCTTTCAAAATCTACCTAGATGTTTAACAAAAAATATAATGGTAAATACATATATTTTTGTTGCGATTTAAGTAAAATTGATTAATTAAAGAAATATTCCTTACGTCCTGCATATTTTTCTGAGTACTAAGCCACTTATCATCTTTTGAATATAAAATATTTTCGACATCCTCCGCCAATTGTTCGTGCGTTATTTTTTTTTCTTCGTCAATAATTGTCGTTACAATATTGATGAAGCGGTACATCATTGCGATGCTTATTTTGCAAGCGGTACGTATTGTTTTCTGTGCATTTAAATTTTACTTCAATTATAACTTTTCTGTTGCGCACAATTGCTTTGATTGCCCAAATCTTTACCGTTTCGTCTTCATCTTTTACTGCCAATGCTGCGGCAATCCCTGATGATATGTCAACTTCTTCAAGATCGTCTTTGTGTTTGCTGTAAACAGCTTGCCATTCATCAACAAATTTTCCAGAAATCTTTTCTTTTAACAACAATCCAACTCGTTTCTAAATCAACAAAATTAATAAATCAATAACACTATAAATATATTGCAATGAGTCTAAATTAATACCTCTCCTCCTTCTGTGATTTTTGAAATTATTGTTTCGAAAATTTTTTGATTATGAGATGCATCTTTACTTCTTTTGTGGATCTCTATCGGCACTTGCCGATCTCCTTGTTTTAATTTTTCTAATACATCGGCTAATAGAACACAAAATTCAGATCTAATACCAACATTAGAGTTGAGTTACTTAAATTGGAAAATACCTCTCTTCTCTTTGACTACAAAGTGTATTTTGTCTTGTAGTATAAGAATCAAAGTGTCCGCAAACTCGTAACCTAAGAGCCATTGCTTTTTGACAATTTGTTGTAAGTTTTTTCGTTAGACACCACGACTGATAGATCGATTTTTCAACTATGGAAGCTTACCTGAAGTGCAGTGGATTTCTGATAGGGGTTTTCCTCTGAAATATCGCCAACAATAACGAGAACTGCGTGCACTCCCTGGAAAGGATCGTCGGCTGTGCTTTTACCTGACGAAGCCTGAAGAAAAACTTTACGCGTAAGAAGCAGTTTACTTGTTTGCTAGTTAAATTAATTTAAATTTGATTTTTTTACGAAACGTGTAATTATACACAAATCACCTTCCAGACGGAAAGAAAATTTCTCGCGCGTTTGTGAAAAATCTTGGAATCCAGGTGTGTCTCAGACTTATTATCTTCTGGCATTGTAGAAATCAGGTGCGAATACAGGGAATATTAGAAAAAACTACGTGATAACCAACGGTCCGGACAATTCTGTGGTTCCGTAATTTTAAAAAGTGAACGTGTTTAATCACATGATTGATTACGTAGCAGCTGTCGTGTAATGTAATGCAATATATATAATGCATAAAAAAATATTTGCAATGTTTAGATAAATATCTTTTCAATTATATAATTTTTATGAAGTAGCTTTAACTTTTATTACTTTATAAATATTTTAATTTTATTCTTAATTTATAATGATTTTTTTTATAATTATAATATTTATTATTTATTTATTTATTTTTTAATACTTTAGTTCTATTATTTTTATAATTAGTTAATCTCATATAAAAGTTTATTATATTTTAGTCTTAAAATATTATTTTATTCACAATTATATTTTAATGATATATCTTTATTGAATTATTTAAAAAATATCAAAATATTTTATAGACTATTACAAAGTGATTAACCTATCATTATATATTGCTAAAGTAAATAAGAAAGAAAAAATAAAAAAAACTATTCAAAATATTTTTAAAAAGTTTTTTTGTTTGATAATTCAATAAAATAATATTAGTTAACAAAGTTTTAACAATAGTTACATAAAAAGAATATATAATAGATATCAATATTAGAAACTTTATTAAAATAACAAACAAGAAAAGAATTGAACCAAACTAAATATTACAAAAGAAAATTCAAGATCTCTAGATTTAACAAAATAAAAACATAGATTAATCAATTTTCTAAAATTAGTTTATTTTATCTAATACCTTTTATATATCTTTTAAAATCAATAAAAACAAGGATTTTTTAATAAATTTGATTCATAATAAACTTTTGATACCATATATATTTAAAAAGAAAAAATCAAAAGTTTATTTATTAACCACTTGTCTATTATATGAACTATAAAAGAAATATCAAATCATTTTTTAGAGTATTCAACTATAAGAAGAGCTATAGAGGATATATAGAAAAAGTATATAAAATAATTGATTTTTATATTAATAAAAAAATAAAATATAAAAAAAAAGTTTTTAGAAATTAATAACTAAACAAAGAACTAATTAAAAAAGATCCAACAATTAGATAAAAGTTTTTTCAATAATATATATGAAAGAAAACATAACTATATTCTTAAAAAACTATTTTAAAGAATAATCTAAAAATTTTTTGATAGTCATATAGTTTATAATTGGCAAGTTCTATCAAAAGATATAAAAAATTTTCAAAAAAAAGATTTGAAACAATTATTATATTGAAGTAATAAATTAAAAAAAGATTATATATTATCAAAAAAAAAAAAATAAAAATAAAGAAATATAAAAACAAATCAAATATATCAATTATATAAAATCAAGAAGAACCAATATCATCTTTAATAAAAAATATAAATCAAGAAAATAAAAGAAAAAAAAAGATTATATAAAAATTATTAAAGAATAGATCTATTATAGTATTAAATTGTTCAAATTTTAAACTGTAAATAAAACCTAGAATAATCTATAATAATAATCTATAGACAATAATTTTATAGATTTAATGTTAATTTAAATTAGTAAAAAAAACAAAATATTATTTTTAAGTTATATTTAGAAAATTAATTTTTTTTTTTTTTTTTTTTTTTTTAACCCATAATCAGGTCAATATGGCTTGTCCATTTTATTGTAAACATATTTAATATTTATATATTTTATGACTTTCACATATTGATTCACTTGTCTATAAAGTTTAATCTTCTCTAGATGCAACTTAGGAAATAATATTGTATTTCACTTCTTTTATAGTTTAAATTATCCTCTAGCTATTCAGATCATTACCTACAGCTCATCATTGTAGATTTTTCAAAGTTCTAACTATAATTAAAAATCAAACTATTTAAAACTTTTGGATATTCAACTATTTATTATATCTACTATATTACCTTGGGACTTTATTCGTTCTAAGTCTTTTTCTTCTTCTATTATATTTCTAGAAGGAAGAATAAAGAAGTGGTTGGCTTCTTTAGGAACTCGATCCATTTTTCTAATTATATCTATTGGTACGCTAAATCTTTTGAGTTTGCTAATAATTTCTTGATTTTGTTTCTATTTTATAGTAATACTACAATGCTTGTTTCAGACTTCCTTCTTGAAGGTCTTCTTTATTTTTTTACAAAATTTACCAATAGCCTCTTGTATTATTGTTGCTAGAATCTTGAGGACTTTGAGATGCTTTTCCAGGATCTTGATCTTGTTTTTGTGTATAAAGTCACAGATTGTGTTATATAGACTTTTATTCTATTATTTAATGTTTTGAATCCATTTTCTTGTTACTTTTTTAATTTCTGTCTGGCTCTTGACAAATAGATTTTTTGTTTTCTAAATATACTGAAGGATTTTACTTTGAGATTTGTCCCATATAAGTGATCTTTTGCTTTGGATCTTGGGACATTCAAAAAGATGTTTCAGAATTTTCTCTTGTAATTTACACATTAAGCATATTGTGTTTGAATATAAATCTGATTTTCTTTTCTGTATTACTTGAAGGATAAAAAGCTCATTATAGGTTAGATTTATCAGAAAACTCTTGTTCTTATTAATACTAAAGAAGGTGTAAAAAGTAATATATAGATTGAATTGTTTCCAGAAAATTTGGCAGTCAATTTCTTTACTAGGATGTATCTATTGGTCTTGAATATGTTTTTGCTTTGTCCAGGCTAGTTCTATTTTTTTAGTGTTATATTTTTTAAGAAAATCTCTAATACTGATATCATTAGTATGTTCCTTTCAAGCTACTATTGTGAAAACTTGATCCAGATCAGGTGGTTTTTGTCAAATTAAGGAGTTTTCTCTTCTGATCTGCTTTACTAACCTGTCTACTATATTGTTTAACTCATTGCTTTGATGGGCCTTGATCTTTTCAAATATAAGTTAAAGATTTTTCTTTTATACTAGGTCTTTAATTTAGTTCTATAGTAGTCAGTTGATCATTTTAGTCTATTTTTTTATAGAAATAAACTTTTGTAACTGAATTGTCTTCCATATCTTGATAGTTATATTACAATCTGTATATATGGTTGCTTTTTTATTTTTGGATATTGTAAAGATTGCAGTAAGTATAATTAGGATTTCTGCTCTTATAGCTGATAACCATAATATTGCTTCTACTAAGAATTGGTTGGTTATTATATTGTTTTCAATTTGAATTCATACAAGATCCATTTCGAGTTCATCTTCACTTTTTGTATATTATTTATAAGATCTGTTAATAAAGAAAGTAAATTGCTTTGTATTATTTTTATTTTATATTTAAGACTTTTTATTAGATTTGTCATATACTTCTCTAATTATATGACCTATTTAATTAGTTCAACTTTTCAATTCTCTATTTGTATCTCAATCTCTTCTGGTTTCAATGAATATGTAGTACTTGATTTATTTGTTGATACTGTGGGTTGCCAGTCTATAAGTTTCCTGAAAATGTAAGTAGATTCTTTTTTTAAAAACTTTTTTACCTATTTAGTTGTAGTAGTAATCAGATTTAAAATATGCATAAAATTATTAGTTGTTTGAATATATAAGAATAATAAGTAGTACTATTTGTAGTAGGAATATAGGTGAGCAGCTATGTTGTGAAAATTATTCCTTTATTTTGCATTTTGATTTTCTCTATAGTAGTTCCTATTGTTTTAATCAAAACTTCCCAATTAATTTTCTGTTTGTCTATTTTAGGAGCCACTTTTACTATTTGAAGTTCATGTTCAATTCATTTTAGAGTTTGATAGGACTGTTTCAACAAGTCTTGTTGTTCTGTTACTTTTGTTCTAATTTGTGTATATTAGCTTGAAATAGAATCTTTATAAATATTGGTAAAAATTTGAACTGTTCTTCATTCTCTTATTGTTAGTAGATTATATTAATTAGTTGATCTAAAAACATTATTATTTTTTTTTTTTGAAGAAGGAATAGCTTTCATATATTCTTTCTTATCATTTATAATTGTCTTGATAGACATAGTGCCTCTTTGAATATCAAAGATCTTTTTCTATTTCCAGCTGTTATATATGATCTGTAGCTTTTTTGCCATAGCCAGAGTTGTAGCAGTAAGGTTACCTTTTTCAATTGTCTTGACTTTTATTGAATCATCAAGTATATTTTTGGATTTCCAGTATTTGAGTTAACTTTGTTTAAGTTGGATGACTGTTATAATTCCTGAAGCTTTATTATTATTTAGTTGATAGAATAGTGTTGTTATATGATTTTTGAGTTGAATTTCCTATACACTTTTGAGCCCATAGATTTGTTTGTTATATATACAACTATTTGATATGGTTTTACAAATTAAGGCATTGTTTTTGAAAGCTTTTCTATATATAGCTATTAGATCATTGCAAACTTTCTTATTAAGGAGTATATGTTAAATTCTATACTCTATATAAGGAATTAGAACTCTATTGATAATATACCTGGCATGTTTTTCAGTTAGACTTTTGTTGTTAATTGCTTGGGTTAATGTTCTGATTTCTATCTTGAATAAATTAATAGTATCCCAATTGTTGTATCTTTATCTTAACCAGATATCTAGAAATTTTGCTTGATTATATATATCTAGTTTCTTGACTATTAATTTATCTGTCCTTATATAAACTATGCCTGGGTCTATACTGTTCTAGTTGAAGATCAAAAGGATAGATTTTTTACTATTAATTTGTGAATCATTTGCCTAATAAAATTGTCTGACATCTTCCAAAATACATTTCATATTAGCTTTGGATTTGGCAATCCAAGTAGTATTATCTATATATACTATTACTACTTGTTTTAGAGAAAGTTTTTCTTTAAAATGTAGCTTTTGAAAGTCAGTATCCATTCTTTTTTCATTATATATACATAGTTTGAATTTTCTTGAATTTTATATAATAATGAATCATAGAAAATCACCCAAAATAAAAGTAAGATTGTTTTCCCTTAATCTATTCCATTACTAGCTATAAC